TTTTCTTAAGTTTTAACAAGTGTTAAACATTATCTCGGTTTAACATCAACTTGTAAACTTTTCTCAAGTTTCAACAAGTGCTAAACATCATCTCGGTTTAACTTCGACTTATAAACTTTTCTCAAGTTTCAACGAGTGTTAAACATAATCTCGGTTTAACTTCAACTTGTAAACTTTTTAAGTTTCAACAAGTGTTTAAACATAATCTCGTTTAACTTCAACTTGTAAACTTTTTAAGTTTCAACAAGTGTTAAACATAATCTCGGTTTAACTTCAACTTGTAAACTTTTCTCAAGTTTCAACAAGTGTTAAACATAATCTCGGTTTAACTTCAACTTGTAAACTTTTTAAGTTTCAACAAGTGTTAAACATAATCTCGGTTTAACTTCAACTTGTAAAATTTTTAAGTTTCAACAAGTGTTTAAACATAATCTCGGTTTAATTTCAACTTGTAAACTTTTTATGTTTCAATAAGTGTTAAACATAATCTCGATTTAACTTCAACTTGTAAAATTTTCTCAAGTTTTAACAAGTGTTAAACATAATCTCGGTTTAACTTCAACTTGTAAACTTTTTAAGTTTCAACAAGTGTTAAAACCATTTTTCTTCTCTCTGCCCCCTAATGTGAACCTAAGTTCCACTTGGGTTCTCACTATACATGTATTCCAGAAACAACATTATGTATCTTTATCAGTCACAAGTGTATAAATCGAATAAATCAAGCTAAAACTTTATTTATTTACTTAGGCAAATGACAAAAGAGCAAAACTTTATTTATTTACTTCGGCAAACACCTCAATATTTTCTCTCAGGAACGCCTCCAACATTTTTTTTTTCTCTTCGTCGGCTGAGCTCGAGCCGAGAAGAAAGAAGCATTCTTCATCCCCCTCCTTGTCTTTAATCTCTGCCTTCTCTGGTTCTCGTATGCTGCAGGTGGATTTCATTGCTGCCATGGAGCAGTTCTTTGCCTGCAGCTAATCTCCTCTGACCATTCTCTATCTCATGCTCTGTTGGGAACCGTAATAGTTGATGCAATGTTGAGGGAACAGCCCCCATTGTATGCAACCATGGCCTTCCCAAAATGATGTTGTAAGGAGAGGGTGTGTCAATTACGGTGAACTCTGTTGTTATCTTCCTGGTGCCTGCCTACACCTCTAAGCTGGTTGTTCCCATTGGCCATGTCGGTTTTCCATTCAACCCGACCATTGGGCTATTGGATTGCTTCATATCGTCTGGGTAAAGGCCAAGCTCCTTGTAACATCGGGCGTACATGATGTCACAAGAGCTGCCATGGTCAATCAGGATGCACTTTACTTGGCATTCCCCAACCTAGAGGGATACTACCAAGGCATCATTATGCGGATGCTACACCATCTCAAGGTCGGCTTCAGAAAAGGACACTACTGGTCCGTGGCACTCCTCTGCCCGATGTCTCTTCTCCCTGACTTGGTAGACATGCTGCAAGTGCTTCACCTTCTGGGTCTCCTCCCTAATTTTGTTCTCGTTAACCTTCGAGTGAATTACATTAATTACCCGAGGTCCTCCTGCCTGAGGTTGCTGTGCTGGGGGAGGCGGAGCTGCTAGTGCCTGAGGTAGTCTTGCCTGTTCTTCCCTTATTCTAGCCTCAGTGACAAGGTCTCTCAGATGGCTTTGCCTCACCAGGTCTTCCAAGTGTGTTTTCAGGGCTCTGCAGCCCTGAGTCATATGCCTGTCTTCATTGTGGTAAGCACAATGCCTACCAAGGTTTCTTCCCATAAATTCTCCCGGTGCCCTTGCTGGTGTTCTGAAATAGGGTTGATTCGAATTTGATCCAGGACTTTGTGAATTGGGATTCGGAACACAGTTGTCACTACCTGTGTAGCCCTCAATTCTGTCTCTTGCTTACTCGATCTATTGTTACCTCGGCCTCGCTTCGGCGAGCCGTTTCCTTTCTCTTGCTTGGTCTCCTTAGTTCCTGACGTGTTTTCCTCGGCTCTGGCATACTTCTCGATTCTCACCCTGAGCTCTTCCATGCTTTTTGGCAATGTCTTTGCCAAAGACTTTCGTAGTGGACAGTCGTCTTTAAGGCCGTTTTTGAAAGATACGACCGCCACCTCTTGATTACACTCTGGTATTCGGTTGAACACCTCATAATATCTTTTTGCATAGGCCCTAAGGCCTTCATCTTTACTGATCTTCAGAGCTATCAATGCGTCCATCCTCATTGGCTGCAGCTTGTTCGTCATGAACCTGGCCACAAACATCTCAGCCAAGCCTTCCCAAGTCTTTACGCTTCCCTTTGGTAGTTTGTGGAACCAATCTGATGCAATCTCCTCGAAGGATGAGGGGAACACTTTACAGAGCAACGGCTTGTTCCCATTATACAATGCCATTGAGTTCAAGTATAATCCAACGTGGAAGTTAGGGTTTGACTTACCATCGTATATTTGGAACCTCGGCATACTGAATCTCTTCGGTGCCTCAAATTTGTCCAACTCTACCGAGAATGGTGTTCTCGGCTTAACAGGTGAAGTTACTTCGGCATCGGTATTATGTTGTTTCCTCTTGAGGTAATCTCTCAGGTCTTCCTTGCTCTGCCTAGGAGCTCGGCTATCTCCCGACTTCAGTCTTTTCGGCATACTACTCTCAGCTTCGTTGTGGGCCCTTTTCGACCTTTCTCCATGAGTTGTGTCGAAGCACAGCTCCTGCCTTTGAACATGCCGATGTTCTTTGGGGTCTGCTTCTTTAGTTCGATGTGTCCTTCGTGACTCTTCTTTCCTCAACTCTCCTCGCCCGACCTCCCTGCAAGGCCGGTGAGAGTGTTTTTCTCTTCTGGTGTGCTGAGGGGCTATTGGGATTGGTTTCTGCCCTCCCTTCTAGGTATTGGCCGCTGGAATTGGCGTGTCCTGCAGTGGGAATGGTGGTTGCATGACGTTATTTTACATCATAAAATTGCAGGTCTGCCAACTTGTTTTCCATCTCTTTCACCTCTTCGTCCCTTCGCAGGCATCTATCCTTCCATACCTGGAGGTCGTCCTTGTTGTAGTATCCACTTCGATCTGGTTTCTTTGGCACGTCGCCATCCTGGCCGACGTCTTTCTTGCCGTGATTCTGGTTCTGAGTCTCCTCACTGCGACCATCTTCTTCCACATTTGAGTCAACGTGTTTTCCACTCCCAGCAGGGATTTTGTCTCAAATCTTATCCTTCTGTCCGTCGCTGGCCATCTATTCTCCTTTCTTTCCCACAGACGGCGCCAAATTGTGTGATTGATTTTTTGATCACACTGCCAACTTAGTATTCAGCTAGAGAGTACTGGCAGAATAGATGACACCTGGCTGACCTGCAACAGAAAGAGAAGATCCCGGCGGTGGTTCGTCCACCCGGGGGCACTCCGACGATCAAGTCAGTATATCTCTCAAAGATAATCAATAGTGCTAAACTCACTGTTCAGAATATAAATTGCGTACTTTAGACCCATCGGGGGTGCTTTTCTTTTATAGTTAACTCAATCCTAGTTCCCCTAGAAGCCTAGCTTCAATGGACTTCTGCTCAGTGTTTATCCAGGACTCTCCAAGAAATAAAGATAAACTCCCTAAGAGTGTTATTCTTATCCATGCTAAACTCCTTCCTCATTCTAGGACTCTTGTGCCTTATCTGTTTATCTCGAATTCCGATATCTTCGGAGATAACCTTGGCCTAACCGAGATTACCTCGGCGTCATAACCTGGACACATGGCACCTCGGCTGACACGTCAGCGTCACCTTGGCCACGTGATGGGACTCAGAAAATATATCTCCACAAGTACATATTACACTACAAACTTATATGCCACGTATAATACCAACATGAAATTAACAACACATGTACATATTAGACAAATGTTCGATTCACATTTTTTTCGAAACCTCAATTTGTTCTCTTGATGTGTGCATGCGAATGTGATAATCAACTCACAACTAACGGTACACAACAACAAACCCTACAAATTAGAACCTTCATCAAGCATAGCAATCAAAATTTGACAAACTTACTTTTGCATGATATGGTCATCAGTCTACAATCAGCAAAGTTCACACTCACAAGCCCACCACCCAATGTGTGTCAGTGTCCCAACGTAGCAACACAATTGATGCTCACAACGCCAACTCTAACGTTTTTTTTTTGGGGGGGGGGGGTAAAACATGTCTTCGCTAGATTGTGGTCGATTCTGGCATGAACGTTGTTCGATTTGAATTCAAAACCCTAAATTACCGCATAACGTATCTTGATTTTCCAGAATTAGTGGATGATGTTGCCACCTTGGGATGAAATCACAAACGTGGAATGCCTAACCGATATCATCATGACATTCAATTTTCAAACCTCCAAAGAAACGTGACAATGAATCCGGGATCCCCCCTTCCAAGTTGGGTGTGGTGTTTCAGAATGTGGAAGTGCCAAATGTGGGATACCAAAATATGAAACGTGCCCTCCAAAAACTCTATTGTGCGCTTTTTACTGTGGCTGGTATGGAGGGACTGCATTTTAGGTCACACCAATACTGTTACAAACAACAGCAAGATACATGGGTAAATGAGTCAATTCCTTTTCAATGGGACTTCCTTGTTCATTAAAATAAATTTGGGACTGATTTATCCTCAAATTCACTTTTTGGAATTTATGGGTCAATCACCTAATTAAAAATTCAAGATTTTATTTGTTATTTGTAACTTCACCAAAAATTTTTGAAGCTCAAGAATAATTGCACCGACTCATTGTCCAAATTCAACTCCAACTCTATAAAACCTACATACTTTAATCTTTACCGTATCAATCCATTAGCCACCATCATTTTAATTTCCAAAAAAATAAAATACATTGAATGACTAAAATTCTGTTTTGCAAATCACCAATATCTATAACAACTAAAAATCCCCTGAATATGATGCAATGCTTACAATACCTTTTTTTTTCTCTTTTTTCTTTTTTCTTTTTTGTCTTTGAAATTGTTTGACACTTTGACTGGCAGATGTGGGTTCCTTGTAAAGAATGGAAGATAAGATAAGCTAAACTACCCAAAAACCATACCTTCAAATTCCTCAACAAATGCATTTCAATCTAAAAAACTCAGCACATCTGAAATAGCCATGTCGGGCAAAGAAGATGAACAGGCCATTCCATTGCTTTTAGATACTCCATCATCATCATCTTCTGTACAACCTAATGGGCCACTGATAAGAACAGGTATGTATGTATCTATATGAATGCATATCCAATTGAATGTTTATGAGGAATTGAATCCAATGGTGACATAATAAACAACCCATTTAATTATATTTTGGGTTTGGTTTTGAATGTGAAGGGACTGTTTGGACAGCAATTGCCCATGTAATAACAGGGGTGATAGGATCTGGAGTGCTGTCACTAGCCTGGAGTGTGGCTCAGCTAGGCTGGATTGCAGGTCCTTTGTGCATAATGGTCTTTGGAGTGATTGCTGTAGTTGTTTCATATCTTCTTTGTGATTGCTATAGATCTCCTGATCCACAATTTGGACCTGCTAGAAACCCATCCTATACTGCAGCTGTGAAGTCCTACTTAGGTGAGGACTAGTTATGTATTATTATTGCAATAATATCTCTTTCTTCTTTCTTAAATCACTTTTCTGTATAGAATCATTAAAAAATGCTATAAAACTGACAATTTTAAAAAAATATTTCTTACTATCTGATGTGTCGTGCAATATTGGAACTTTGAAAACTGAAATAGGACTTTTTCAATAATATGATAAGTGTTACATTATTGACTAATAACACTTTGAAATTTTTTTTAGTTTGTATAGCATTACTCTCAAAAAAAATGTCAACCCAACTAGGACTAAAGCGACTATTAGGGATGGCAAAATATATTATCAAAGATTTGGGAAAATGATATTTGTTGCCTAATGAAATTTTACTGATTTTTCACCTCCTATGTGGGTCAGGTGAAAAAAAACAATGTAGTCCACTGCCCTTGTTGATTTATTTCCATGGTTAAGCTAAACCCCTCCATCCTCTACCCCCAAATATTCATTTGAGAAGTTGGCTATTTTTAGTTTTTGACTATTTTAGTAGACTAAAATATTTGTGTTTGGGAAGAGGATTGGATTTTTTGATAATTAGATGTGATGTTTGTGAGAGAAAAAATGAATGATTATGGGTTTGATGTGACATTTTATCTTATTGAATATTTTAATTTATTTTGTCTTTTTGTAGATTTTAGCGTGAAAAGCTAAAAAAATCCTTTCCCAAACACCTGTATTTCAGGAGAAAAGAGCATGTGGGTGTGTGGAGCTTTTGTTCAAGAGAGCTATTATGGATATGGGATTGCTTACACAATAACAGCTGCCATCAGTATGAGGTCTGCACCCTCAAACTGTTTTGTCATTCAAAAATGATTGAGAGCTCTAATGGTGGGATGCACCATGTGATGTGATGTGATGTTTATACTTGTTTTTTTTTTTTTTTTCTTCTTCTATGCCACATCACTAAATCTCAAATTACAGCTCTGGTTTTAGAACTCTTAATCACTACTCTTTGTCATTATAGTTCTATGTTGTAAAAATACTTTCTAGTTTTTTGTTTGTTGTACATTTAAGTACAACTCCATTGCAAGTTTATGCACCTATAGATACAGAAGAGGCATAATCGAAGTGGCAGACCTAGATGATTGCTTTAATCATTGGATTTCTTTTGCTTATGGAATGTGATTCAGATTTTTGTATAAATGACTAAAAAGAAGATAAGAGATAGCCATAGCTAGAGGAACTAATGTTTTTCCAACAATATGGCATGGGAATCTAAATAAACTTTCTAATATAAGAAACTACGATGACTGAAAATGTCTCAATTAAATTGTCACCTATGTAGGCAAAATAAAAATAATTTTCCCTTTCCCAAAGATTTTATGGTAAAAGCTTCTCTGTGAAAATCATTTGGTTAGTGAAAATTATCTTTAGGTTATCCAAGTGTAACTGGATGAGAGAGGCCAGGAGGAGGGAAGAAATATTTCCAATCTTTCACCCTGAGTTGAAAAGGAAATCGTGGGAGTGGTCTGTCTCCTTGTAAAGAATGGAAGATAAGATAAGCTAAACTACCCAAAAACCATACCTTCAAATTCCTCAACAAATGCATTTCAACAGGACCGTTTGGAAAAACTGATTTGCAACTTATTAGTTTAGATTTTACGATTCCATGCTTAACCAGGAGTACTTTGAAAATTTAAGATGCTTGGTAAAATTATTTCAGATTTGCAACTTATTTTATTTTTTCAGCTCAAAATAAGTTCAAAAAATTAACATTTTTTGAAGTTGGGTTTGAGATTTTTTTAAAGCTCCAAATAAGTTTTGCCAAACAGCCTCACTCTTTTCTCTGACACTCCCATCACGTAAACAGTAGAGTGTTGTTGAAAAATCTTCATATCCCTCTAACATTCTTTCTTTTTGGTTTATTTCTATTCTGCAACTTTCAAGTAGTTAATATTTCTTTTTCAGTAATCTGTACTTATTAGTTAATTAGTTGTTGCAGAGCAATTCAGAAATCAGACTGTTATCACAAGGAAGGGCACAATGCTCCATGTGACTATGGGGGCAGTCTATATATGTTGCTATTTGGAGCAGTTCAGGTTTTCCTCTCTCAGATACGTGACTTCCATAACATGGCATGGCTCTCCATAATTGCTGCGATAATGTCTTTTTCATATTCCTCCATCGGTTTGGGACTCGGCTTAGCAAAAACAATAGGTAACTCTTGACAGTTCATATTGTTAACTATAATCACTTACAGGCATAGTACACCGATGGGCACAACCATATTGGGGTGAATAATTCTTTGTCCAGTGTGGATATGTTTCCTAGTAGCAAGAAATAATTCAAATAGTATATTGTGCTGTTTAATATTTGTGCACCTGAATCCAATTTGTTTCAACTTTTAAGCAAGACAGGCATTGAAAGAAAAAATTTGTGTTGCTGTGTGGATTTATTTATCAATCTATGAGGAAACAGAAAAGCCTCCGGGTGATCCATCTAAGTATGTATTCCTTCATTGCTTTTGCATTTAGATTTTATAAAATGTAATTGCAGGAGATGGAAAGATTAAAGGGGACATTTATGGAGTGTCTAAAACTACTGTAGTTGAAAAAGTATGGGTTGTTGCTCAAGCAATCGGAGACATCGCTTTTGCTTTCACATACAACATTATTCTTTTGGAGATAGAGGTGTGAGAATTGTCCTACTACTAAAAATATCACACATTTTACTACAACCTTCCATTTTTTTTTTTCTTCAGATGTTAAATGTAAAGAGTTTTAATATAATTTTGAAGCTAAAAAAGTAAACCACAAACTTTCGAGATGAAGGACACCCTGAAGTCGCCACCACCAGAAAATCAGACCATGAAGAAGGCCTCTGCAGCAGCTATTCTTCTTACTACCACCCTCTATCTTTGCTGTGTTTGTTTCGGGTATGCAGCCTTTGGCGACCAAACACCTGGAAATCTGTTGACTGGCTTTGGATTCTATGAACCGTATTGGCTTGTTGACTTCGCTAACGCATGTGTCGTTCTTCATCTCATTGGAGGATATCAGGTGCTCCTTAATTCATGAAGTTAAATATGACATATTTGTGCTGCAATTGAGGTTTAATCATAGATATGCATATGCTCCAACTGTACTTGAATTTAATGTACATCTTTTATACGAATTTCAGTGAACGAATTTACATTGCTACTATAACTTGTTAGGAATTCACAGTGATTTTAAACCTCCTTTCAGTCTTTTCTTCAGTTGAAAAAAAAAAAAAAAAACTAAAAATATCCCCACATATACATCAACTTCTATCATATCATACGTTTGTTCGTAAATTTATATTCTAAACAAACAAAACAAAAATATATAATTTTTTTTTTAATCTTTACTGTGTCTATATCCTAACATTTTGAAATTTGCTATGCGCCCCTAGTCTTTTGATCTCGATCACCATTCAGTAGACATAAAAATGAAATTCTTATGCTCTCACATATCCACATACCCAGTTATGGCTAATTCCCATACATATAGTCGCCAAATTTTAACTTTAGTCTTAACTTAAAACTATCTAAAAACATAACTATCTGCTTGCAACTAAAAACAAATCAGCTATATGTCCTTTAAATTTATATGCAAGTGTCTTTAGACTAGCTTAAAAATGATTAACGTGCTTGACGCTTGTTTAAACTAAAGTCAACAAGTACAGCACAAACTGGATTTTGTGATGCTTATGGTTAAATTCTAAATTCAGGGTTCTTTATTTTATATTTTTTTAATGTGTTTTTCTTACTGTTCTTGCTGGTAAGTATATACTACCTCTCTTAAATATTTTTCATTCGGTAGGTGTACAGCCAGCCATTATTTGCTGAAGCAGAAAGATGGATAACAAAGAAACTACCCGACAACGAATTTGTCAACAATGTTTACACCATCAAGCTCCCAATGCTGCCGGTTTTCAAATTGAATCTTCTCCGGCTATGCTTTAGAACTACTTACGTTGCATCTACCACAGGAATCGCCCTACTGTTTCCTTACTTCAACGATGTTTTAGGAGTACTGGGTGCTTTGAACTTTTGGCCTTTGGCTATATACTTCCCTGTGGACATGTACCTCAGGCAAAGAAATATAAGAGCTTGGACAAGAATGTGGGTTGTGTTTCAGGCCTTTAGAGCAGTTTGCTTGGTTGTGACCATTGTAGCCTTTGTTGGGTCCATGGAGGGGCTTATAACTTCCAAATTGAGCTGAGAAATGTCTTTGCTGCTAGGGTTAGAATAAAGGTTTTGTAGTGAATTTGATGAAGCAAAGCCAGTTAGGCAGTTACTAGTTCATGTAGAACAATTTTTTTGACAAGTCCGTTAATTTTATTGGAAGGTCTCTGTTGAAGTCTCTGCTTTCGGCTATATGCAGAATGTCTGTTAGGCAATGCCTTACACCGGTGCAGCAGTAAAACCTTGACTTGTCCCCCCCAGGATACAACAGCCAGACTAAGTTGTATGGTTCACCAATACTGCACAATTGGTTGAACCCAAAGCTTTATCACACACACCCTTTTTATTTGCCTGATAATCTCACTCAAGACATAACCAAACAACCAAAACTTCTTCACCTTTTTTTTTTTTTTTTTTTTTTTTTATATGATAAATGGTTTGGTTATGATTTAAAAAAAAAAAAATTAAGAATCATTGATTATGATTTTTTTTAAAACTATTGTGTTTAGTTTGAGTTTTCTGGATTAAAGTTTTTGAAAATTGACTTTTTTGATTTTCGTGTTTTTTTGTTTTTAGTGAATATTTTTTAAATTTTAAACATTTTTTTTACTTTTTTAGATGCACCTTACTTAGATGTAGCTAAAAAGAAAAAAATTTGTGAAAAAATATTTTAAAAAATTAATAAATACAAAAAATGTACTGAATTCTTATATTTTTTTTTGTATTTTTGGTATTTAGTGAATTTTTAAAAGGTTTTTTTTTATAATTTTTTAATTTTTACGTGTATTTATGTTAGGTGTGTCTAAAAAGTAAAAAAAATGCTTAAAATATTTTAAAAATTCAATAAAAACAAAAAAACACGAAAAATAAGAAAGTTGAATTTTCTGAAAAGTATTTTTTGAAAAATGGAAACAAGTTATTTTTTCTTGATTATAAAACTCATCATCCACTAATTCTACAAATCCCACAAGGAAACAAAACTTAGTGACTAATATAATCAAATGGTTTAATGATGGGTGACAGAGAAGGGCGTGCGGCGGTTAACAAAGGAGCTTGGCAATCGGTGTTCAGGAAAAGAGGTCGAGATATTGGAGTAAATTCTGGTATTCATAGTGTTTGTGGATGATCTACCTGAAGCAATGAGTCCGAAAGGTCTGTTCTTTCTTTTCTCTAAATTTGGGGTAGTGAAGGATGTGTTCATTCCAACCAAAAGAAGAAAGGCCACAAGAGCAAGATTTGGATTTGTAAGGTTTGATTGCCCAGTAGCAGCGGAAGTAGCAATACAGAAAACAAATGGTGTATGGTGTGATAATAAAATTCTGAAAGTAAAGAAAGCTGATTTTGGTAAGGAGCAACTGTCAAAAGCAACATATGAACTCTCAAAGGTCACCAGAGAAGCAGTTGGGGAACTAAGGAGGAATAGTACGTATGCTGAGGTGGTGAAAGGTGATGCACTAAAAAAGGACAAGGACTTGAGATTGCATACAGAAGAATATGGGAATGGGTGGCTATTCAACAGCCTGGTGGTCAAGTTGAAAACCCATTTTTCTTTTAGGGATTTTAAGGAGGATCTACAGAACAAAGGCTTACAAACTATTGAACTGAAGGAAGGTGGGGGTAGAATGGCATTCGTAACCTTTTCATCAGTTCAAGCTATGAGGAACAGAAGCAGTATTATTAACAAATGGATTGAGGACTGGTGCGAATTGGCTGCGGAATGGGAGAGATGGATGATAGTCGAAAGTGAAAGATTGATATGGTTGTTTTGTTATGGAGTTCCACCAAATCTGTGGAACACTAAAAACTTTACAAAGATTAGAGAGATGTGGGGTGAAGTGGTAGGCATTCATGATGAAACGTTAAGTATGGAATCACTGAAATGTGGTAAGGTAGAAATTATTACATCACAGATGGAACGTATAGATAATACAGTTATCATGGAGAGCAAGGGCATCTCGTATCCAATAAGAGTGGTGGAGTGTATGCAATGCAACAGAGCCATGGGTATCACTCTGAAGAGGTTGTAAATGGAGGTAAGTCATGGGTGAACGATGGTAGCCATGAGAGAGTTGATCAGAGCTCTGTATTCAAACAGTTGGGCAAAGAAGAAGATAATGCTGACAAGGTTGTTCGTAATGATGACTTGGACGTTCAAGGTGAGGTGGCAGAGAATCAATGGGTTGACATGGAGAAGACGGGGTTAATGCATGATGATAGCTGTAATTCTCTCACTACCTCAATTGTAGAGGAAACGGCTAGAGACTTGGAAATCCAAGTTGCGGCTGTCGACCCTTCTGGTTCCAAGACAAGCATGCAAAGCAAAGCAAATCAGTAGAGAGTAAAGTAGTGGGAAACTGTAGAGTTGTTGAGAATCTTGGGCCTTTCGGCTTGATGAGAAGCCTTAGTGATAATGGAATTGCTAGGCCTACTATTAACTTGGAGGTGGTTTTAAGTCAGGCCCAATATGAAGGGCTTCGTGATGGTTCGGAGTCGGGTTTGGGAAGACAGAATGTGGAGAACCCTGTCCCACTTGCTTTAGTGTCTCTACTTAACCCTGAGGTGGAAGCCCAATCAAATGTTCTTTTTGAAGCCCATGACAACCCAGGTTTTGACCAGCAAATTCTTATTGGATCTGATAAAGGTAAGAAGGTTATGGATGGTTATAATATGTCAGTTTCTAAGCATTTACCCGTCAAAAACAGAGATATGGGGAAGAGAATAATGGTTATGTGGCTCCTGTTGTTTCACATAGGGAGCAACTATTTTTGGCGAGAAAAGAAAAAGGACATAAAGTTGACCAAGCTTCTACCAGTAAAAGAAAGGGGTCAAGTTCAAGAAGGAAAAAGAAATTAAGAGACAATGCACAGTTTTGCAAAGGATTTCAAAGAGGAGCAATATTTAGAGCGGCGGCTTCTGCGATTTCTTCTTCCATGTTAGTCAGCAATGGTCCGTATAGACAGATTTTGAGCCGAAATGAATCTAAAGCAACTGTTTAGATGGGGTTTGATTTTGGGGATAATGAAGAAAGTGTTATTTGCAAAATCATGGAGATGGAGCATCAAGATGAGGAAAGATTAGCCAAAAAGGGGAATAATGGTGGTGCTTAAGTTTTGCACCTGAAGAGATTTAGGAGTCGGAAGTTTTTACAATGAAAGTGCTATTATGGAATGTTAGAGGCTTGGGTAAGCTTGAGAAAAGGAGTCCCAAAAATTTTATAAAGGAAAAAAAGGGTGGATATGGTTTTAATTCAAGAAACGAAGAAGTCAAGCTTTGATGAACTTTTTGTTAGATCTCTTTGGCCAAAAGATGATTTGGGCTATATAGGGGTTGACGCAGAAGGAAGTGCAGGGGGCTTGTTGTGCTTGTGGAAGCCTGATGTTTTTCGGCTTAAGGATTGTTGCGGTTCTAGGAACTTCATTTTGCTATCAGGTTTGGTTTTCCATAGGCTTGATTGTGTCATAGGCAATGTCTATGCCCCTAATGATAGTAGAGATCGAAGTCATCTTTGGGTGGTCCTAGCTAATTTGAAAGTATCCTTTCCACAACCGTGGTGTTTTGGGGGGGATTTCAATGAATTCAGAAGTATATGGGAAAGGAAAGGATGTGTGAGAAGTGATAGGGGGATGTAGGAGTTCAATGAGTTTTTGAATAATCTTCAATTGGTTAATGTTCCTATGTGTGGTAGGAAATATACCTGGAGTAATTCGTAGTCAGGAGTATGTTGGAGTAGAATTAATAGATTTCTTTTAAATCTGGAGTAGTTTGAATGGTTTAGCTTTAAGTTATGGGCCCTTCCCAGAACGTTGTCTGATCACTGCCCACTCTTATTGAAGGAAGATAAGAGGGATTGAGGTCCAAAGCCATTCAAATTTTTGAATACTTAGGTGCTACATCCCAGTTTTAACAAAGAAATTAAAAAGGTTTGAGATGGTTCACAAGTGGTGGGATGGGCTGGATTCAAACTAATGGTAAAGCTAAGATTACTAAAACAGGCATTGAGGATTTGGAATGTGGAGGTATTCAATAATGTGGAGTCCAAGCTCAAAGCAGCTGAAGCAGAGTTACATTCTTAGGACTTTAACTGCGGAAAAAAGAGATCTTTTAGAAGCTGAAGTTCAAAAACGAATTGAAGTCAATGATGAAGTATGGAAGCTTAGTAAAAGGAGAGAGTGGATATGATTGCAAAAATCGAGATTGAATTGGGCCTTAAAAGAGGATAAAAATACCAAGTACTTTCACATAATGGCATCCATAAGGCAAAGTAGGAATCTCATTGATTCAATAAAGATTAATGGTATTTTATATGAGGATCCTGTGGAGATGAAAAAGGCAGTGTGGGCTTACTTTAAAGAATTGTTCACTGAAGGTTGGAAAAGTAGACCAAGTCTAGGGGGTGAGTTTAGATGCATTGATCAACATCAGCTTCAAAACTGTTTGGTGAAGGATTTCTCAGAAGCAGAGGTGTGGGCTGCAATCAAGGAATGCGATGGAAATAAGGAGCCAGGTCCAGATGGGTTTAACCTGACTTGCATTCAAAAGGGCTGGAAGTTTATGAAGGGTGATATCATGGAGTTCATGAAATAGTTCCATGATAATGGTGTGTTGGGAAATGGAATTAATTGCTCCTTTGTGACCCTAGTCCCCAAAGTTGATAGCCCTAAATCAATTAAAGACTTTAGGCTTATCAGTCTTATTAGTTCCATTTATAAAGTGTTGTCTAAAGTGTTGGTTCAAAGGATGAAAGTAGTATTGCCAAGCATTCTTGATAGAGTTTAATCAGCATTCTTGAGTGGGAGGAGTATTATGGATGGAGTTCTTATAGCAAATGAGGTTGTGGACTGATGGAAGAAGTCTAACAGAAAAGGGTTAATCCTAAACCTCGAATTTGAAAAAGCTTATGACACTGTAAACTGGAACTTTCTCATTCATATGTTGGAGAATTTTGGGTTTGGATCTACTTGGACCAAATGGATGAAAGGTTGCACTGCAAGAGTTTCAATTCTTATCAATAGGTCACCATCACTTGAGTTCTGCCCTCAAAAAGGTTTAAGGCAAGGTGACCCATTATCTTCGTTCTTGTTTAATGTCGTTGCGGAGGGATTGAATTTACCCATATCAAGAGCTAAGGCATAAGGTCTTTTTAAAGGTGTATCAGTAGAAGGCAATGGTTTGATTATATC